TTCAAAAATCTAACCCTAAGAAACACATACAATACTACAACATATGTTGGTGAAACCTAAACCAAAGAATATCATGACTCACTACTTTCACTCATCTATGCTGAAAACAACTGACTTTTGTTATATATTAATTTATATCTCTTAAGACATATGTTAATTACATAATTCCAATTTTTCATTTATCAAAATATTTATTACATAATTTTTAAATTATTTTTAAGAAAAAATGTCAGAGACGACTTGCGAGGGCTAAAAACGTAAAAAAAAAAACTCTTTTTTTTGTTTGTTCACAAGGGGTTGGTTGTAATTTCAACAGCCTTTTAAGTTATTTTTGCATTTGATTCAAGTTTGAGTTTATTTTTGCATTTCAAATCAAGTTTTGAGTCATATTTGGCAATTTCCCAATGAAAGAAAGAGAAGATGATGCTTAAAAGTGAAAATATAAAAGTAAGTTGTTGAAAACATGTAATCAATGTACATATTTTTAAATAGATAGTAGATATAGATGTAATATAGTATGTTTTATTGTTAAATAAAAGAATAAATATAGATGTGTAAATAAAAAAAAAAGTTTTGAGTAAATGAGGAAGCGAAAGGAAAGGAACAAAATATTCTCTTTATAGCTTTGGGAATATAAATTGTTGGATTTTTTTGGTCATCACGAGAGAATCGCACAAAGAAAGGGAACGGAGAGAGAAGTGGAGGTGGAAAGGCTTTTGATATTTGTTGGACTCTAATCGAAGAAAAATCTAAAAAAGTAAAGAAAAAAAAGAGGTAGAAGAAGCTCTGGATGCCGTCTCTTTCCGTCGTCGGCGACGGTGGTTATGCCTGTTGGCTCTGAGGTATTTGATGATCGCAGATCTCCGTCTCTTTGACTATTTCGAATTTGATTTGCTGTTTTCGCGGTTGGTCAGATTGGATCTGGTTTTCGTCTGTTCGATTCTCTGATTAGATGTTCTTATCGAGTTTTAAGGTTTCATTGATCGATTTCGGTTGTATTGATAAGATTTTTGATCGAATTTGTGATCGAATCTGCATTTTAATTTGTAATCTTATGTGCATTAGATTGGTTATGCTGTTTTGGGTGGATTGTTTTTTTTTTTATTGGTCGAGTGTTTCTGTGATTTATATCTGAGTGTGTGTCCATGGATTGGTTTCATTGCGACAGGTTCTATCAGGGGTACTTTTGAGTGGGTTGTTTTCTGCTGAGGTATGGAGCAAGTTTTCGTCTGGCCAAGCTGCTATCATCATCAGCTTTTCTCATTCCAAGAAGCGCTCGACTGGCGGTTTCTTGTTCGTTCTGATTTCCTTGTGGGCTCTTTCGTTAACTGCACTTAGTGGTCGAATTTCTGTGACAGGTATGGCTTTCTATTCTAGCTTCCGAGAGTTTTATTTTGACTACACCTTAGAGTACTGCCATTGTTGGAACTTTAGTTGGTGATATGCTTTTTGTACATGTTTAGTTCCTTGTAAATAGTCGAATTGGAGGTTTAGTAGATTTTATATTTATTACTTGTTTATGAGTAAATGGAAAATAAGGAAGTTTGAGATATTGTAAATCTGCTAAAAGAACTAGGAAAAATATAAGAACACCATGAAAGCATAAGCATACAATTGCAGACAAGTTAAAATTACGTCAATGCCTCAAATTAATTTTGTTCTCATCTTCATATATATCAGTGGACACATTAATATGTCTGGTCTTTTTGTATCTTGTGCAGGGCTGAAGTCTGCAAATTCTTCTTTTTATTGTCCTAGAGAAACCTCTTAATCTTCTCCCTGCGGACAAAGATTTGGTAGCCCTCTCTTCCATATCTTGTTCTTATGGGCGCTGGTTGAAGAAGGATATAACAATTTTTTATTTTTTTTTGAGTCTGAACCTCTGAGTGAGATGTTGTAAGCTTTGGGTCCTTCTTGTTAGCCAACACATTGTTTCTTATTGGTTCTTTTGTGTCTCCGAGTTCTCAGTATGTGTTTTACTCTTCTCTTGCTTTCTTTCTTTTCCCTTAATGGTCAACCCATTGGTGCTCAAAGTAAATAATAGTCAGTCTACCCAGCTAGAGAATCATTGATTTTACTGCTTTGGTGTTCAGTCCTTGCTACGAACAACTGGAAGATTAATGCTATATAAATCTTTCAGAAGTTCTTTACATACATAAAATAAAGAGGCTACTTTGCTTTACCGGAAAGACAATGGAAAGGTAGCTCAGAGTTCTCTCAACCTTTTCGTAACATCTTTTGGTATCTGGCCGTTTAATTTTTGCTTATGAGTTTGCTTCTCCCGGCCTTATTAATTTTGCAGGTACAAGTTAATTAAAGAGGTTGGTGATGGAACTTTTGGTACTGTTTGGCGAGCTATCAATAAGCAGACTGGGGAAGTTGTAAGTTGCTTTCTTTGGGAGCTCTCTATACCTGTACAATGTTATGTGCCTAGATTGTCTTACCAACTGAAGTTTTCTATGAGCAGGTTGCAATTAAGAAAATGAAAAAGAAGTACTACTCGTGGGATGAATGTATTAATCTGAGAGAAGTGAAGGTAGTCCTTTGTTGAGATGCTCTTTTGCTTGTATGTTTACTTAGACCTCCCCTTTTCTCCTATCAGTCGCTTAGGAGGATGAATCATCCAAACATCGTGAAGCTGAAAGAAGTCATCCGCGAACATGATATCCTATACTTTGTCTTTGAGTACATGGTATACTCTCTTCCTGCTTGTAATTTGCTATTATTTGCGTACCCTTTAATCAGTTTCACTGATTCTGCGCATGTCATTCTTACTTGATCAGGATTGCAACCTCTATCAGCTTATGAAAGATCGACAAAAGAATTTCACAGAAGCTGCTGTTAGAAACTGGTGCTTTCAAGTATTCCAAGGCCTTTCGTATATGCATCAGCGTGGTTACTTCCACCGCGATCTTAAGCCAGGTAATTGATGGTCTGGAAGTGTCAATTTATACAAAGCTTCAAACATCTTCTGTGAAGATTGACAATGTTGACTTTATTTACTTTTCCTCTATAGCAATCATGGTTCAATAGTTCGTCAATAATATATGTTTATACTGTGTTGGTTGTTACAGAAAATCTATTAGTCTCTAAAGACATCATTAAGATCGCTGATTTTGGTCTGGCACGGGAGGTTAATTCGAGTCCACCATTTACCGAGTATGTTTCTACACGCTGGTGAGTTTTGTTTTTCATTTTGTGTTGTAATGAGTCTTTCATTACCAAAACGGTCGATTAGATGCTATACCATTGCTGCCATACTGAGTACTGACCCAAAAGTGTTTGTACTAATAGGTACAGGGCACCTGAAGTACTTCTACAATCATATGTCTACACATCCAAAGTTGGTTAGTATCCGTACTGTTGTAATAATTAGTTATATTTTCTCTTTAATGTTCTAATGCTAAAGTATGTGCCAAATGATTTTTTCTTTCCAGATATGTGGGCGATGGGAGCTATTATGGCTGAGCTGTTGTCTCTTCGTCCTATATTTCCCGGGGCTAGGTAACTTCGCAGTGATTAATTTTGTACTTTGGTGATTTGAAATGTTGCAAGTTTAAACGCTAATAAACAAGTGCAAATGTTGTCGTATAAACCTTGCAGTGAAGCAGATGAGATCTACAAGATCTGCAGTGTCATAGGCAGTCCAACTGAGGAGACCTGGTTAGAGGGACTTAATCTTGCTAACACCATAAACTATCAGTTCCCTCAGGTAATGGATCTTCAGCCTCCATAGTTTTCTTTTTCCGTGTTAGTGATTAACTGTTGTTATCTTGCAGCTTTCTGGTGTTCCTCTTTCAAGCCTGATGGCATCTGCTAGTGAAGACGCAATTAATCTTATTACGGTAAAATGAGTTTGACTATAGCTTTGGACATATTTCTTTCATTCTGGGTCACCAATCTCGACTTTTTTTATGATCGTTCAGCGGCTTTGCTCCTGGGATCCATGCAAGAGACCAACTGCTGCAGAGGCTTTGCAGCACCCGTTCTTTCAGGTACACCATAGAGTATTTCCTTCGGCGATATGACTCTTCTTGATCAGTTGATCTAATAATGTTCTCATGTGGCAGAGTTGCTTTTATGTCCCACCATCTCTCCGACCCAAGCCATCTGTTGCAAGAACTCCTCCGCCTGGTAATCTTTTTAGTTTGTTGATTACCGATATCAGGCTGTGGATTATTATACATGTTTTGAGATTGTGACAAATTAAGCATCATACTTGTTTCTTTTTAGTTGGGCCAAGAGGATCATTCGAGCACCAGTCAGTTAAACGGCAGACTGTGTCTCTTGCGAAGCCATTCAACAATGTTTCTCCAAAGCCGAGTGCTGCTTTTGGCAGTGGCGTCCAGCGGAAACTCGATATGGCTAAGCAAGATGGAACGAGGAACACTAAACCGGTGAGAAGTTCTGTCAAAGACTCCAAATACAAACCACCCGGAAGAAAGAGTCCTCGTAAGTAAAACCTTAAAACCACCCCTTAGTGTTCTTGTAACAGGTACAATGATTGTTTTTCTTGGTTTTGATAAAACAAAGTCCATTCAGATGGAAGTAATGCAGCAGGTTCGTCAGTGAGCAAGAACCGGGTAGCGCGTGGTGTATCTGAGACTGCTGATAAACTATCGAACATGACCGTCAGAGGAACCGTGTCTCGAAGACACTCTGTGTCAGTGATGCAGCAACAGCAACTGAAGCCACCGCCGATGAAGGCAGGTTGTGTAGGAGAAAAACGTGACATGTTCCTTAGACCAACACAACCCGCCACCAGTGCCTACTCTAGGAAAGTCGCCGGCTGACCCCAAAAACCTCTCGACAACAGTAAACAACATTTTACTTTATGAATATCTTATAATATATACTCTGGTTTGTCCCTTAAGTCGTCATTTCATTATTAAAAAAAAAAACAAATTTAAAACGTCTCCTTTTCAGTTTTGTGTGTTTTATTTTCTTTCTACTATTTCAGTGTGCTGATTTGTATTATGCGTGACGCTTGACTTCATGGTTTGCAATAAAGTTCGACTTGGGAAGTGGTATCTGTTGTGTACTTTCTTATTCATTTCAGCTGCTGTAACTGGTGATTGGAAGAATCATAGATTGCATAGAGAAAATTATATAGAAAATCGACAGAAGTAGTCTTGAAGTATCGACTTGTAATAAATGATCAAACCGCTGTTTTTGTTTTTCTGTCTATCTCTTGTTTGAAGAGTTCCAAAAGGACTGCCAAAAGACAGGCCAATTCTTCTTAGCTTCATTCCATCCTAACAAGGAACCTTCTCGCGACGGATCCCAACTCGATGATACGATCCCGTAGCTCACGCCAGCTAAAGCCGTGCCGAAGAAGACAAAGGAAACAATAAACGGAACCCATGTAGGCACGTCGATCTTCAATCCCACTTTGAGATAGTAAAAGAGTGGGAAGAAACAAAGGCCAATGAAGAGAGGTAAGCCAACAGTGAATCCCATTCTGCTTATCATTCTGTTGGTGACTATCTCTGGAATCACACCTCTCTCACGTTCATCTGCATCATCGTCCTCCTCTTGGTCGTCTTCTTCTTGGTCACTCTGGTTTCCGGGTTTTGACTTTTTGGGTTTCTTGGTTTTCTTAGGAGGTGGAGGTCCAAAGCCTCGCGGACTATTCAATGTTGCTTGTAATGGAGCTATACGCGATATTTCTGAGCGCTTGTTCCTAGTGAGAGACTTGGGAACTTGACCGCTCCGTTGTCTCCGTCTTTCTACGCTTCCGTCAAGCTGTGTAAAATGAAAGCAATCTCAAAAGGATAAAGCTCAAGACTATTGAAATTCTACACTAACAAAAGATGGAAACTGAAGACTCAAAATCCATGTAATTATGATCAATGAGACCAGATTGGTATCGATAGAAATAGTAGGTGAATGAACAGAGTCTCAAGCGTAAACTCATGGACGTAATGAGAGAGAGAAGATTACCTTGGAAGACGATCTGCGATGAACACAGAGGTTGAGAGGGCATGTTACAGAAGCCATTGAATCAAACCAGACATGAACCATAAAACGAAAGTTTTACACACAGAGAAGCATCGGATTTTTGTTTGTGCGTCTGTTCTGTTTCGAGTGGGGGAGAAAATGGATAAGGTTTATCGTCTGTTACCAGTTTATTCCCGGTTCGGTATGATCCGGTTTACTCGACTCAAATACTGTATTTTCTAATTTCAGTTTTGATTTTTTGAACGCGCAACTAATAATGGGAAGAGTGATCGAGAAGACTGGAAGATGCAAGGAGGTGAGGCTATTCTCCGTTTGAATCCTAGGTGTGCTGCTGTGATTCAAAGATTATTTTTTTCACAATTTTCAAATTCGTGTTTAATTTTGTTTTCCAGGTATAGCGAAAGGTTGATCTTGATCAAACGTTCTGTGTTGCGACGGTACAGCTACGAATCAGGTATGCAACATGAATCCTTCCGCTGTATCGATCTGAAAATCTCCTCTTTTTTTGATTTTTCCATTGAATTTGCATAGTGTTTCTCTTAGCATGACCATGAGAATCTTAGATTTTGTTGGGAAGATAGTTAAATATATAGTCTAAGCATACAGAGTACTAGAAAAAACCATGAAAACTGAGGTACAGACTAGTGTGCAGCACCTTACAACCATTCTCGAATCTTGTTGATCAATCCCCGAGGCCCAAGTGAGCCATAAGTAGCCAAACGAAGTTGATGAACTCTCCACCTTTGCTTAGAAGCTCCATACGCGCTGTAGCATCACAATGCGATGCTGCGTGGAACAGAAACTCCAACCACACTTTGCTTAGTGTCTTCCATTTCTCTTGTCCAAATTCTTTCTCCACTCTCTGAAGTTCTTCAGCCAGTGAGCTTGCCTCAAACAGCACCGACTTGCTATGGTTTCCTTTGACGTCTCTCGGATCGATGCTGGTATCGACTGACAGAATAACATCGCTGGCTAGTTTCACATCTTTAGAGTTTTCGATACCCTTTTTCTTGAAGAGTCTTTCAGCTTCGGCCAGCGTGTCTCTGAATCTAATCTTTCCTATGCCGGCTACCTCTGACATCAGATTAGGCTGCATGATCAAGAGATACATCATGTAGTCTGAGAGTATTTTGCTCATCTTACGGTTACTGTGGTACTCGGGTTTATCAGAGCTCTCTTTGTCCCACTCTTCTCTTTGGTAGCAGAGTTCGGTCGCAATGTGCCAAATCAAAAGACTGTGGTCATAATCAACATCTGTTATGTAACGTAGCAGAATTTCTTGATCTGCTATTTGAACCTGGGCATGGCTTGACGCCCAGTCTCTCCTGGCTGAGGATTTTGTTGTGGTATTCTCCAGGCTTTCTAGAATCTGCGATTTGTCTTGCAGCTCAGTAAATAGGAAAGACCATAGTTTCTTTGGCAAGGGTTCTCTGTCTACAGATCTCACCGGTCTTAACGCATGGAACATATCATTGATGTTTAGGAAGTCGATAATGCAGGTGACCATAAACACGAAAAAGTAAGGTACGCGAAACCAAAACTCAACAAAAGTCTTGATGATGTAGACAATATAACGAGTGACCTGATTTTCTGCTGGCGGCAGAATGATTAGATGGTGGATGGCGTACCTGTGAAGATTACGAAACCATATGGCCATGTTACGAGACCATGTCTGGATGATGGAGAGAACGTAACTGATGGGGCAAAACATGGTATTCCATGAAAGATGGCATGTTCCAACCCTGGGATTGTGGATCCTTTCTGTAGGTGCGTTCATAGAGTATGTTATGAAGTTGAACATTGTGATGCTTCCGGTCCATCTTCGAAGAAGAAACGGTGTGTTAAGCACCTCTTGCTGATGTTGATGACTACATGTTTGCCACCCCCACCTTGGCCTCTTAAGACCAAGGATCCAGTTGAGTATTTTGTCTTTCCGTGAATCTTTCCTGTCGGGGTCATCCTTTAGCGTTGATAGGATGGCTGTTGTCCAGTCGGAAACCATTAATATAAGCAACGAAATAACGTCCAGAGCTATTCCAACCAAGAACAACGTGTAGGTTATTACAACGTCGACTTTGTGGAACTCTTGGATCTTATTGTGACTGTAATGGTAGATGATGAAGGCTGACAGAAGGAGTCCCAATGATATGATACGAAACACAAATCCAATCCAACTATGAAGAACCGCACCTTTTGTGTACAGTCCTTCATAGATAAAATCTAGCTCGGCCTCTATAATTCTCAGAGCTTCTTCGTCTTCTAGTTTTGTTGCTGTAAAGAATGCCTTGCTCTCATGGCGTAGCTCCAAACTGAAGATGTTATTGACCATAAGACTCTTGAAATTGTTGAAGAAGAAGAAACCATATTGAAGAATCTCAAGGTGGGTCAACTTTCTACTGGGAATCCTGAGCGTCCGAGGTTTCAGCTGTCCGAGATGCTCCCGATGGGCAATTATTGATTCAATATCTTGGTTGTTTGGCTCCTCGGTGAAGTCAAACACTGAATTAAACGTCTGCATAATCGAGTTCCCCCTGTACATGTCTGAACTTGCGAGGTACAACGCAATTGTCCTTTCCAAATACTTAAAAGCCCCAGCAATGAAAAGCAACATTATTACAACCCAAAGCACATTGGGTAGAGACCGGACAACCACATATACACCTGCAAGCGCCTGAGAGCCAAACGAAAGAAAATGTCTGTTCCAGAGAGCATTGTCCTCGAGGGAAAACGCAGTGATGGTGTCTGGTCCACCAAGGTGTAAGAGCAAGAAAGGTGCCCACAAGGCGACAAGCTTCTTGTCCTGAGGAGGATCATCGGGTTTAGGATCTTTACCTTGGTTATTGGCAATCAATGCAACCGCATAGTTTGCAGAATAATCTGCCAAAAGATATGAAGACCATGAGAGCAGGATCAGGAACTTGTTGGGCGTCCGTTTCCTCGATGGGGAGACGAAAATGAGGACTGTCTGAAGCCAGAGACTGAGGACGATCATTCCCCTGATATTCCAGGTATTCCAAACATCTTTTAATTGCTTGGGAATCACTTCCACCATCTCCACTGCAAAGTGGCTTTGAGCTTCTGGAACACTTGTCTGTGGAATGCTTCTTTTGTGGTTGACTTTTTAGCCAAACTTTGCTGGGGAACAACGTAAGTCTTTTTGATATAATATTTTTTGTGGTTTCTGGTCTTATTTTAAGATTAAAAACAATAAACGACAGATCATGGCCCTCTGCAATCTATACTAAATTTTAGAACTTTTACTGATGGGGCTCTCCTTTTCTTTAACCACCATCAATAGGGATGTTAGATACGAATTTTTGGGGCCAGTCCGGCTCTGTTTATCTAAAGCTAGGTCCTAAATGAGCGCTAATCTTTTTTAAACCTCACAAAGTTGTAAAATAGGGTTATCTGGCCAATATTTTGATACATTCAGCATCAGCCCTGCTGGGTTGAATCCTTATTAACATCCCTAGCTATCAACGCTAAAGATCAAATCCACAATAGCTTGTAGTAATGGTGCCTCAAGAAAACATTGAGTAGATTTAAATTACTCAGGGTTACAATGTAAAAAAGACAGAGCATTCATCGCCAGACACAAGATGGGATCATATGATAGCAGTATGTTGAACACGTTCATTTCTGATATGGTGATTCAAACGCGCGACACACACATGGAACAAAGTAAATGATTAAATTAAAAGATCCAGGGTAATAATGTTCAGTGATGATTTGGGTCGGATCTCCTTCGATGGCTTCAGTAGTTTTTTCATATATTCTCAACCTTCAGAAATGGTGGCGTGCTTAGAAACTTCACAACAATTAGAAAGGGAATAATAACAAGTTATGAAGATATTGCAGAGGTGATAATCACAACTTTGGACTCACCGGATCACAAATAATTTCATCCGAGGTGTTTCCACTTTTGAGATTTTCCGGTGAACCAACCTTTAGCTTTGGGCATTTGTCTTCTTCGTAACTCTTCAGATTAGGCAACTTAGCACCGAGAGTGGAAAGCACAGGCAACTAAAAAAGGCACAGTGTGTGCAGATCCGGCAATTCGACTTCTTCTTCAAACACTTTCTCCAGCTTATCACAAAACTTTATTTTCAGAACTTCTAGGAAGCTGGTGTGAGGCTTGGATGCATGGAAAAGTGTTATGATGCTGGGGCAACAATCTAGGCTTAGTTTTTTCAGATTCTTGAAGATGTTGCTGGGCACACTATCCAACCATGGAAGATTGGTTAATGACAAAGTTTCCAGGTGTCTCAGACGTTCGACGTCTACGCCAGAGAAAAGGATTTTCATGTCCATGCACATCCCCACCCAACAACCTTTCACGGATATCAAATCATTGAACATAGATGAGATACTTGAGGCGCTGTTGTCCACAAAAGCCACGAACTCAGATTTAGCTAAGGTTTCCTCATCTTGGTGTACGCCATTAGATCCATGGATCTCTAGGATTTCCTGATGATTTTTGGAATCAACAAACGGTATAGTGTACGTATAGACATCCCTGTATATATGTCCTTTCTTTCCAAGACAGTCAAAGGCCCAAGGTTCATTGACCTGTTTCTTTTCTACTATTTCAGACGCGTTTCTTGAGAATTCTTGGATTCTATCGACGATAACACATGAGGTAAGACTCTCAGACATCTCATATTTTATGGCTTTCTTTACTTGTCCCCAACTATCATAATCTTCAAATCTTCTTGAATCTGCCAGAACAAGGAGCTTCGAACACCAGATACTGCTCTCCTGTGGTAACTCTGGTATGGCGTCTATCCTGGTGCCAGAGAGATTAACTTCACGAAGGTAAGACATGTCCTTAAAGGATCCATTAATCGTATACAACTTAGTGCACCCGGAAACATCAAAGACCTCAAGGCTTGTGAGTCTCTCGATGTTTGGGATAGCTTCTAGGTTGTAGCTCTTCTGTAGGAGGAGTCGAGTGAGGTTGGATAGCTCAGAGATGGTGGGTGGCAGTTCCGTCAAATTTGTACCCGACAGATTAAGAACTTTGAGTTCCTCTTTCTGCTCGAAGCATACTGCTGCAATATCCACTAAACTGGTGGTGCCAGAAAGATCCAGAATTTGGAGACCCGACAAAGGTTTAAGATTGGGCAATTTTACCAAACTGCTACAGTTCTGCAAGTATAGGCGTGTCAAGGAGTGAAGCTTGCCAACCACCGCTGTGTAATGAAACATTGGAATGCGTTTTATTTTGCTCTCTGAAAAGTCAAGGAGCTGAAGCTGCCGAAGACTAGTAAAGGTTTGGTTTCTGCGTGCATCAAATCTTGTACCGAAGCAGGTTTTTAGGTTGTGTGCACCACGGAAGTCAACAACCTCGAGCTTCTCGAGTTCCTGCATGTCTGGCAGATCTTCCAATTCAGTGCAATTCCTAAGGATGAGACTGTGGAGATGCTTGAGTTGAGAAATGCTGGAAGGTGAGTTTTTGATCCGAAGTCCAGAGAGGTTAAGACTTTGGAGCTGAGGTACTGCTTCAAAGAAGTCATCAGAGATAGTTTCCACTGAGCTAGCGCCAGAAACTTCAAGGACCTCCAGCTTCCGTAGATCCTTAAGCTCCTCTATACTTGGCAGTAGATCGTAGTCCCTGATCACAAGTACTCGAAGCTGCTTGAGCTTTCTTAAAGACTGGATTAGATACTCCATTGTGGGATCAAAAAGACCAACTACTTCAAGATCCTTCATATGCGGCTGCTCAAAGAACTCCTCTGGTGTTTCAAGACGCAGACGGTTTCCACTCACCAGGATTGTACGTATATTTTCTCCTCTCGCTGTTTTTATCATATCATCTATGTGGCGTGTTTTCCCAAGACCTTTGTTCTTGTCACCGCCATAAACCCTAGAGAATCGAAGCCGGGATCTGCCTAAGAGCCCATGATGCCGAAGATCGATTAGATTGTTCATTGCTATCTCTGGTACAACCATATCACCCTCTTGTGTCTTGAGAATACCTCGGTTTATAAGCTCCACCAGGATAGCATGCCCATCATTATAGGCCTTGCTAACAGAACGAACAGGATCAAAATAGCCTTCAAGTATCCATTGTGTGATCAGTTCACCATAATGAATGCAGCTGCAGTGATTAAAAAAGTCCATGCTATGCCAAAAACAATCAACGACCGCATCCTTCAACGTACCATCTGTTTCCAACAGCCGATAAGCAAGTTGCAGAATAGGATTATATCCGGAGGCTGCCTCATTGCGAGATAAAACATCCTTAAAAGCCTGGACTTGTTTTGGAGAAAGACTAGTGAAAGTTTTCTGATGAACGATGCAGTTTAAGGACTTGGCTAGCACAACGATTGCAGCAGGCAAGCTAGTGCTTTTTTGCACCAATGTCTCATCAATTTTCCAATGGAGGGTTTCAAGCAAAGTCTTTGTCTTATCCTTGAGAAGGGAGTGAAACAAATCCCTCAAATGAAACATATCAAGGGTCTTGAGTAAAGTTTTTGACATATCCGTGGTGTGGAACCTCTCTGTGTCCAATGCAGTATGAGGTTCAGTTTGATCATCGCTCCTTGCCTCCTGCTGCTCCTCCGTGATGCCTTCGGACTTGATTTCATCGTCCTTTCTCCTCGTAATAAGAACCTTAAGATTTCCGTCAAAATGATCTCGGAGATATTTGTAAAGGCCGAAATCCTCCATCACTTTATTCTCACTTGTCTTGTTTCCTTCGTCATCAAGTATCAACAATAGATACGACGGCTCCATGGCAGCTTTAGCGAACTTCTTGGTCAATTTTTCAGCAGCTGTGGCCTTGGTTCTGCTGAGCGCTGTAATTATCTTTTCCTTCAAATCCTCTAAAATGTCTTCCGGTTTATTCTCATCTCTATTAGACGCTCCAATTTGGAAAGCTATGTTCTCATAGAGTGACAACTCATCGTCGAACTTGTTGTTGAGGTGCAACCAGATGGTTTCACAATGGCCACAATATGTTTCATGCTCGCTTACCATCTTCGCAAGCCGCGTCTTACCAATTCCGGATTTCCCGACCAGCAGAACTCTTTGAGGACCTTCACGATGTACTACTTGCACTATCTGATCACGCATCGCCTTATCCTTCGTGTCTTGGCGTAGTAAAGAATATTCTATATCACTCTCCCAGTCTATTATTATCAATTCCAAAATTACCATATAGAGTCATATACTAGTAATAGCCAATAAGCATATGGGAATATCAGAAATTGTAGAAAAGAGAGGGAAGAGACTAACCTCCAGGAATCTCCGCCATGCTCTGTTGGGTAGACAAGATCAGATCTCTATCGCCGTTTGTTATAAGATCCTACTATCAAGTCAAACACTTGCTGTTTTTGATGAGATAATTAAAGAATGACTCGAACGCTCCTCAGCGAGTAAGCCGTTAATAATCAATAAATAAAGTCATTCTTTTATATATATACAAATCAAATTTATGGGAGACAACAAGGAGGATCCAAGGGGTTGACTTGATAAGATTCC